TCTATCCTTTAACATAAGATTAATAAAACTCATATTTAATATAAGGGATCTAATAATTTTATGTGCATGTGATAATTATCTCATACAATATAAATAAGATAGTGGAATCCACCACTTTTTTTAAAAAAAAATAGGCGACTCACTGTTTAAAATGAGATAATTATTTCGCTTAATATAACTCATCGGATGTTTTCATACGTACCAAGTCATTTTCATCTATACTTACATAATGATCAGTTTTTGTCATATAGTGGTAGTAACATAGCCAGAACTAGAATATTGGTGTACTATGTCTTTCTATATGTTACGTAAACAACCCTCTTATTTTGTCATCAACCTATTTGTCACTTCGCTTTTTTGCGATGTTGAATAGTAATATAGCTAAGACAATAATATTGGTGTGCTACAACTACTTTTTTTATATGATACATGAAAACAAAACTCATATGTTTTGTCAATTTACATTCAGCTAAACGAATAGATTCATTTTATTTAAAACGCATCGTAAATTTGTTAAAAAACAAAGCTACTAAAACATACATGTTTTTAGTTATGACTTACGCTTTTAGTTTGTTACAACAAACCAATTAAAGACGATGATATATAGTTGTACTTAAAAATATGACTCGTAAATTAAGATAAAGAGAGTAATAATTCCAGGCACAATTTATCATACTCATCGTTTGCACGTCCAATAGAAAATGTGACAGCTACTTAAATTGTTTATATTATTCAATTCATGTTACAGAGGTAGGTACACAAAGTACAATCTTTACATACACTATGGATATTCAAAATCAGAACAGACACACACAGAGATCTTATAAGCATCATTGTACACAAGCCACACATAAAGAAAAAAAAGCAAAGTCAAAATAAAATGGTCAAAAGGAAAAAGTTTCTAGCAGTCACTGAACACGGGAAATACATATTTATTATTATTATTATTATTTGGAAATACATATTTATTATCTGATTTTTTATCATGAATTAATTGTAATTAAACGTATCATGATTAAATATTTGTTAATATTATAAATATATTAAGTGATAAACCATTATAAAATTTATAAAAAAAGAAATTAAGTCAAGTTCCAAATTAATATAAAAATTAATATTGTTTCCTATAAAATAAAAAAGTTAATAATTAAAGTTAAATAATAATTATCAAATAAATGTCATATGAAGTAAAATAAAATAAAACGTTATTATATTGTATAATACTTTTAAACTCTTATCTTAGACAGGAGTAAAACATTTTAATATATAATACATGTAGGTTATATTTACAACCTTTTACAACCATAATTTTAACCGTTGATTTTTGTCAATCAACGGTTATTATTTTCTTCAATTAAATTTATTAATTAATTATTAATTCACAATAAATGATAACCGTTGATTGACAGAAATCAAAGGTTAAGATTATGATTGTAAAAGGTTGTAAACAAAAATAGGTTATAAGTTAGTAGTAGAAAATTTTGGTAGTAAAAATATCCTTCCTCAGTATGAGGATGGATATTCTTAGTACCAAAATCTTCTACTATCAACTCACTACCTATTTAATCATCATTGGATCAACATTTTCTCTTTTTTCAAAAACTTTTTAACATTATCTCTTTTTGATTCAATGGTGATTAGATAGGTAGTGATGATGGATATTCTTACTACCAAAATCTTCTACTACCAACTCACTACCTATTTAATCATCATTGGATCAACATTTTCTCTTTTTTCAAAAACTTTTTAACATTCTCTCTTTTTGATTCAATGGTGATTAGATAGTCAGTAAAAATATCTTTTCTCTATATGTATAACCTTCCTTTATATAATACATATAAAAGTTAAAAAGTTATATACTTGTAAATCTCACATGAAATTGTTTAATAAAACATCTGAAATATATAAAAATTAAGAGAGCGATAAATCATATTACGCTTTGCCTTTTGACATAGTACTTTCATTTGATTAAAAAAATTGTAGATTGAGTTAAAAAAACCTCTTCAATTCATAGCCTTGGGAGAATATTCTCATGGTATTTTAAAGGGCATAATATTTAAGATTTATTTATTAATTACTAATTTTTTGATAAAAATTTAAAAAATATTAAATATAATTATCGGATGCTAAAATATTTGATAACTCACTTTGTAAAAAATGAGTGTAGGAATTTGCCTCTAACTTATTTGTTAATTATTATCTAGCTATTTGCTTACTAGCCTCAGATTTTTGTTTTGCATTTTCAATCATTAAGACAAAATAGAAGTGTCCACTTTCGCTCCATATATATATATATATATATATATATATATATATATATATATATATATTTTAACGAGTAAATTATTTTTTAGATTCTCAACAGAAATTATAGAGCCCAATTTAATCTTTTAAGGGATCACATTTGATTCATTTTTTAAAAGTGTAAGTCTCATCTTTTTGTGAGAGTAAAAAGACGCAAGGTATGTCAATTTAGCAATATTTAATGTCAGTTTAGCAATATTTAATATAAAAACATGAAAAGGTCAACTTGCAATAGCAACAAAACAAAAGTAGAATGTGGGCCAACTAGAACATAATTGATGGGCTATTTCTGAGAAATTAAATTCCAGAGGGAACTAGGCCCAAGTTTAATATGTATAAAACTAGTTATTTTTTCTCTCCATAATTTTTATACATTATTTTTATTTTTTGATTGTTTTGTTTTTTTTACACTTGAATTATAATATTTATTTTTCCATTTTACTTTCCAATTTTTTGTTTTAAAAATTAAAACAATTTTATTTTATATTTTATTTATTTTTATCAAATGTAAATTTTATTCCCAGCACATTTTAAAAAATTAGCAAATTCATTTTAAACCCATTTCAAATGAAATTTAATCCAAGTAAAACTTAAGTATAATCTCGACTATTGTTCTTAATTGTAAAAATGAATGTGGGTGTAGTTTATAGGATTTGATGTTTCTTATATTATAAGAGATAAAATTATATTCTACACTCACATAAAAGTATGTGGAGCCATGTGAAGATAAGAGAAAAAGAAAACATGAGCTCCACGCACTTTTAAGTATGTTTAGAAAATAAAATTATCTTTTTTTTTTTGGAGGTTGAAAATAAAATTATCTTCTACAAGACTAGACATTAAAACCATATATATATATATATATATATCAGTTTCAGAAATATTTATCAGTTTCAGAAATATTTAGCTAATACATACCACATATTGTTAAGGGATAGGATATTGTGACACCCAAATAAAGTTACGACCAATGTTACGACCAATCATCTCACCATTAAATTGGTAGTAGCGATCCGACGGTCCTCATTTAATCCCTAAATATCCTCAGTTTTCGCTGCTCTCTCTCCTCGGTTTTATAACGTCAACGCCAACAAACACACGATCGACAATAAGAGGCATGCACAGTTGATATTATTATTTCTGCATTGACGGTAAAATAAAATTCAGATCTCAAATATTCTATATGAAATTGATTCGGGCGTTGAGATTCCATGATATTTATTCCATTATGCAGAGAGGGATAAATGGCGGTAGAGAGAGGGGAGCACAACTCAGAGAGGGATAAGGGAAAAACGGCGGCGAGACGGAGGATGTGGGCAGCGACGCCGTCACGTGTCTGGCTATGGGAGGAGGCGGCGAAGGGAAGAGAGAGGAGAAGGGAAAAGAGAGAAGGGGGAGGAGAGAGAGCAGCGAAAACAGGGGATATTTAGGGATTAAATGAGGACCGTCGGATCGCTACTACCAATTTAACGGAGAGATGATTGGTCGTAACATTGGTAGTAACTTTATTTGGGTGTCACAATATCCTATCCCTATTGTTAATTCAAATTCTTAATCGTGTTTTACTTTTAGCCTTCAATTGCATTTTATTATTTTAAATTTAAATATTTTAAATTAGCTAGAACTAAGAGCGTGTACAAAGCTTCATCCATCGTTTAATTCTCAATTATAACAAAATAGCAAGAACTGATTCTGATTATTAGTTTTAGGTTGTGTTTGGTTGAGGATATCTCATAAGATTGATAGGTAAAAGCCAATTGGGAATGTAGCTTGACCATGTTTGGTTGTCCCACTTTCATCATTTGTCTATCTAAACTATTACCCCAGAAAACTGATTTGCATGTCAAACTCCCCAATAATGAAGGCAAGATATTCCTAATTGTGATGTTGTATTTCTCGTTCCCCAGGTAAATAGCACCGAAAGTAAGAATTTGGTGAGTATCATACCAAACTATTTAAAGGTAAAAGGGTATTATATGTGATTCAAAATATTTAAAAATAAGGGGTATTTTAGTAATTGCAACTTATTTTTTCATCAATATTTTAACTCAAACCAAACATAGACTTTATAATATTTACCAAATTTTCCCGGTAATTTTTTTTTCAACCAAACAACTTTTTTTAATTTTACTACCAAACTCACTTTCCAACCATTTTCTTAGTGTTCAAACAATTTCTCCTTAACGAAACGCCCTTCCAAAATTCCCCTTTTATAAATTGGGTCTTTCAACACAGAATATCGAAAAACTGTTGGATGGGGTACCGGATCAATGAATTGGGCCTTATATAAAAGCTGTTTCATACATTAAAGTTTCGTATAATAATTCAAACAAAAATAATTCCTGTTGACATTTGTACACACCTAGTATGGAGCAGATCCTAGGATCCTGAATATTTTGTTAGATGAGAGTTGAGAGACCCATCTTGTTGTGGTTGCCTCATTGTTTACATCAGCAAAAACAAACAGTGTCGTTGTGGTGCACTTCATTAAACCTTTTGACAATATAATTTCAACTCTAAATTTAACTCGTCAATTCACATTAGCTGTTACTTCTTGAAATTACAAGTTTCAATGTAGTTTAGATTTCAGTTATTTTGGCTAATTAACCATGAAATAGGCAATTGCATCTTTGATTTTGACAATATTCCAAATGACATTAGCAAAATCTAGTTAGGACATGCATGCATGCGAGTAGTGCAGAATAAAAAAACTTTTATTTAGTTGATTAATGAACTTTACAGCGTGACTACTCAAAGAAAGTCCTCTCTTCCCCTATTATTTACAAGCCACTAGCCAAAAATATATATAAAGCAGCAGAAAACCTATCTTTGACGTGGAAGCAGAACACTACTCGAACCCTCCAGCGGTGAAAATGAGCTCCACAGTCACCATTAAGGAAATAAAAGTGGGGGTTTTAGATGACAGTTCCACTAGGAATTAATGCATCCTTGATTACTGTGACAATCCCACTTTTAATGAAATACCCATCTGTTTCTCTTGCAGCTTCTTGGACATTGTCAGTGTTAATGATCTGAGCATTCAAACCACATGTTAGATTTTCAAAAGATGTAATATCATGTTACATCAATGTAAACAAAACTAATTTAGTACCTGGCCAACATGTAACGCTACATAGTATGAAAAGAAAACATGTATAGTAGAATTATTCATTAAGGCTTTTTGATATCTAGGTGTATTAAAATTTTCAGATGATAGGACAAAACCAAAAAATTGACAAGATTAATACGATAAAATGGCTTAGAATGTAAAACGAGGAATTGAAGTGCATATAATTGATGATATTATAACCTTCACATTTTCCCCAATTCTAGCATTCTTGTCAATAATTGCCCTTTTGATATGAGAGTTCCTGCCAATACCAATCGGAACACTGCCTTTAGCAGCCAGAAACCTCTTATCAGCTTCCGTCTGGAACACAACAATCAGAAAACCAATGTTGCAGTTAGAACTGGTGGTCAAACTTAATTCAATCCTATTAACCTTACTCATCTGCAGTTACAATCGATGAATCTAACCACATCTAAGCGTTTCAACCACTTTCATGAGTCAAATCTTGGGATATTAGAACTTGAAATAATAGGCACAACTTATTTAACCACATCATTACCTCATAATAATCTGCCCCCATTAACAAGGTGTCTTCAATAATTGCACCTTCTGATATGCAAGATCTCAGCCCAACCACAGAATGGTGAATTTTGCAGTTCTATGGAACAAAAATATGGAATACAAGGTTAGTTTCCTATAAATAAAATAATCCCATTATATTTGACATCTTTTGTCTAAAGAAGTATAAATCCCCCATTCATAGAATAGATCAGCAGATTGTCAAGGTTTTAAAAGGCTTACCTTAATTACACATCCTTCACCAATAACACTATCGGTGACATCAGCGTCAAGCATCTTAGATGGAGGCAAATATCGTGGTTGGGTGTAGATTGGAGATGAACGATCATAGAAACTGAAATCAATATACCAATATAAATGAACATATAAACAGCATAACGAAGATGCTATCATTGAAATACATTGACAATATGATGATTATATCAAATAGCCTATTTAGTTACCTAAAGTCAGGCACGGGCTTTTTGGTGATTCCCAGATTTGCATTATAGAAAGCCTCAATTGTACCAATGTCTTCCCAGTAACCATCGTACAAGTAAGCTTGCACCTGTGAATATTGACAAACATAAAAGTAAGCTCCAGAATTAAAGCTCTGAAAGCTTTGATAGCAAGATTATACAGATCAAATGTTGAAAACTCCAACAAATTATAAGCAATGATGTTTGTTATGACAAAGATTCAGTACAAAAAAGTTATGATGTTTCCATTAAAAAATATTTTTAACCATTGAATATGAGAACTCATAAATGATATCAATTGGGTGTATGTGCATACTTTATCCATTTAGCTAATTCTCCATTATACATATAAACATATTAGTCAGAAGGTCTTACCTTGACACAAATAAATAACAACATTAAATTCTCCATGCATTACAATATTCTCAGGAAATGCATCCTACACTCTGCCATACTGTTATGACCTGAATTAGGATGTGGTTAAGGACATTAATTAAGGCCCAGGTTAATTTTAACTGTTGTATCAGGCAGTTAGGCTTAGCATTTAGGGGAGATGTTCAGCCTAGTATATAAAAGGGATACTCAGATTATAGTGGGGTTCTTTTGACTAATTCATAGTTTGGCTGAGAATTTCTCAAAGGAAGGGGAGTGCCCCTTGAGAAGAGGTTTTCCTCCTCTATGTTCTTCAGTAATTTGTCGATAAAATCGATATCTTTCTTCCATTTTCTTCTGCTGCGATAACATTTCCTTCGCTAAGAAAACCAGAGCTGTTACACATACGTAAAATACAACAGGAAAATTTTATAAATATTAAACAATTGGAAGGAACACATACTCTCATTCCAATTGAAGTTGCGCCAGGAATTACTTCACTCCCAAAGTCATTTGCACCTGGAAACTTCTCACGCAGCAGGTCTAACATCACATTTTTGCTGACAACATATATACCCATGCTAGCAATAAAAGGCATTTCCTTTGCTCTCTCATCATCAAGGCCCAAAATAGTAGTATCAACCTAGTAGAGGAAAATGATAGTGGCATTTTAAGCAATTGTTTTTAGGTGATAACAGCTGTAAGTATAACATATTATATGCGCTTACCTTCATAGCTTTCAACTGTTCTCCTTTTGGTTTTTCTGCGAATTCGATTATACGTCCCTCTTCATCAATCTTCATTAGACCAAATGCAGTGGCACGCTTTTCATCCATTGGCAATGCAGCCACGGTGATATCAGCATCAGTTTCCCTATGTGCTTGGATAAATTTTTCATAGTCCATTCGATACAAATGGTCACCGGCCAGAACTAAGAACTCCAAAACATTGTGCTCTTCAAAAAGCCATAAATATTGCCTCACAGCATCTGCAGTACCCTGCAATCACAATATTGAATTTGTTGAAATACCACCTAAGGGATGATAAAGGCCACCAAGAAATGCCAAAAAATTGAGATAAATGAGAATTGAAAAGTACCAACTAAGATTAGCATAATACAGTTACACGAGTGATTCAATCCTCAAATATGAAGAGGGAAGAACAAGAAAACAGAGAATTAAGGCTGTGTCATTACCTGGAACCAATTAGGATTCTCAGGACTCTGCTGGGCAGCAAGAACCTCAACAAAACCCTCATTTTTGTAGCCACCCATGTTGCTTGCATAAGCACGGGAAAGGTGCCGGTTCAGAGATGCGGAATTGAATTGCGTAAGAACATAGATCTTGGATACGTTGCTATTGAGGCAGTTGCTTACAGGAATATCAATTAGCCTATAGTTAGCTCCAAGAGGAACAGCAGGTTTTGCCCGCTTCTTGGTCAGTGGATAAAGACGAGTCCCAGCACCACCTCCAAGTATAATGCCAAGCACACTCTGAACATTACCATCATAACATCTTACATTGCAGTCAAAACCAATCCACATCAAATTCAAATATAGGATAAGAAAAAAAAACGCCTAAATAAAAACAAAAGGTGAAAATTTTCTATTGTGATCTAAAAGTTCCTCACTTATCAATTTGATCTACTAGAGAAACAAAAAAAATTCTCTCCCTTTCATTCAAACTAGCATGAACTCCGTATATCAAGCGAATCAATTGACATCAAGCTCCAATCATGCACACCCTCTTTTTAGTACATTGAGACAAAAATATTTGATTGAAAATTTAGCATCTTAGATCTTACACTAGTTTTCATTTCGCTCCACGCTGTAACAGTGGAAAGGAAAGGAAAACAATGAAGAAAAGAGGCAAACTCACTCTGCTAGCGTCTGGATCAAGACAAGTCTGGGAGTTCTGGGAATCAGAAACGGCCATCGGAGTAACAATCACCGGATTGCGGGTGCAGCTTCTTCTTCCTGCAGCTGCAGAAACTGAAACTGTGGCAATCTTGTCACCAGAAAGCTGTGATGCCGAGAATGAGAGGTTGCATGGGATGGCTTTCCTTCCCACATTCGACGAAGATGGCACTTTCAAAACACCAATAGCAGTCATAGACGCCATTGCTCCCTCTCTCTCTCTCTGTGTGTGTGTGTGTGACACTGTGTGTGTGTGTTCTCTCGCTTAACAGAAACAAATAAGAGTGTGTGGTTCAGAAATAGAGTGTGCCACCTTTATTATGTGATGGAGATGGTAGAGAGTAGAGACCATAGAGTCGTAGATTATTATTATTTGATTTATGATTTAAAACTTTGTCGTTGATAATTTAAAAAAACAAAAACGACAAAGAATATTCTTTTTATTAGTAAGGTAACGACAAAGAACATTTTGATATGCAAGTGGAATGAATTATAGGTGGGAAGGGTGAACGGGTTTTGGTTTTTCCAAAACGATTTTGCAATTTGCACCGTTCTTTTTATACAAGGGACGGGATTTTTTGGTTGAATGACCACCGTTGAGAATGTCACTTGGCAAGACGCTTCCAAGTTCCAACATCATTCCCATGCGTTTGATGGTTTATTTATCTATCAAGTAAATGTAACGAATTATTTTCTTAATTTCACTTGCATCCAATTGTTCAGAGTAATATTTTTAACCGAAGGTCACATAATTAGTTCGCTGATCTGATTTTATATGTTAAAGAAATAAATATATATTCTATATAAAAAAATCAAATTATCAATCATTAAAGATTTAAGATATACTCAACATAATTCAACCAATCATATTCTCAAGTCAATATTCACAAGCTAATCAAAGTATAAAATATATTATCATCAAACTTAAGCTCTTCTTGTTCATTTCATGCGTATGTGAAAGGAAATTCCTTACCCAATAGACAATAGCAAAGGAGAGGCAGCAACACAACAAATTAATGGAGGGAAGAGAAGAACCAGCACAATGGAGGAGATCATCGGATCAGAGAGACTGGATCTGAGAGAGAAGATCGAAAGAGAAGAAGAAGAAAGATTCAGATTTCGGATCTAGTTTTAAATCTAGGCAGCAATGAGTTTTTGTTTGTTTTTTTTATATATCAAACAACGTCATTTCATATATAAATTTCTTTTAAAAAAAATGCAGTGATCCCCTCTTACCCGAAAGTCATGGATTCAACCGGAAGTTTCACACATTAAAAAGATCACGTACAAGTAGAGTCTAATTACTAATCCAAACTCCCTGAGGGATTTTAAAATACTAGTTCATGGTTGCTACATGTAAATAAACTTAAAATTGAATACAAGACTTTTTTTTTATTTGGAAATTGCTTTGAATTAATTAAAATTTTGTCCTTTATAATTTAAAAAAAAAAAAACGACAAAGAACATTTTGATATGCAAGTGGAATGAACTATACGTGGGAAAGGTGAAGGGGTTTTGGTTTTTTCAAAACGATTTTGCCATTTGCACCGTTCTTTTTATAGAAGGGAGGCAATTTTTTCTCGTTGAATGACCACCGTTGAGAATATTCCTTGGCAAGACGCTAACCGACATCATTCCCATGCATCTGTCTGGTTTATTTATCTATCAAGTAAAAGTAACGAAACTGTATTAAAAAAAAAAAGTAACGAATTATATTCTTAATTTCACTGCATCCAATTGTTCAAAGTTGTTACATGTAAATAAACTAAACAGTTAAAATTGAATACAAAACTTTTTTTTTTATTTTTACACTAACACATGTTGATTTGTCCAAATATAAGAATGTGGGAAATGTTATATATATATTTTTTTGAAATTATTTAGGTTGAGTTTTTGTTAACCTAATTTAATAAAGGGTTTTATAATTCTTATTCAACATGAGAATTAAAATTTTTCTACACACCCTTCGATTTTTGTGCTGACATGGGTCCTATATATAATTTTTCTAACACATGGGTCCCACATGCTTTTTATCTCTACAACATGAGAATTAAATTCTCATTCAACATGAGAAAATCAAATCCTTTTAATAAAATGTTATAAAATAAAACATCAGTAGCTAACAGTTTAGTATGGAAATCCATTTAAAATAAGGGTAGCTTGCGCTTGAAAAAGCTCAGGATCTTTAAAATTAAACTTGTGTCTTAACATATAAGAGCTAAAATATATTAGAGAAAAGTATTTCTCCAGTCATCGGAGATAAAGTTATCTCCAATGAACTCAAAACGATGTCGTTTTGAGTTATAAGATTAAAAAAGTATAATGACAAGGACTAATATAACCCAGCAATATATTATAATTACAAAAATACCTTGATTTCCGTCATAAAACGACGTCGTTTTGAGCTCACTGGAGATAATTTTATCTCCGGTGACCGGAGAAATCATTTACCCAATATATTAAGGGGGTGTTTGTTTCAAGTTATTAAAAAACTTTCCTATGCATTTGATGATGGTCTTTTGGGATTGGTTCAAGATATTGTATAATTTTGCCCATCTAATACATTTTCCTAGCTTTTGAAAAATAGGAAGCAAATGAGATAGAGAGCACTATTTAGAAAACCATTTCTAAGATGGTATTTTGTAGTTAGATGGGTAAATGGAAAGATACATTTCATTGAAAAGACAAAAAAGACACTCTTAGAATTTTTTTAATATTATTAACCAATTTTTATAAAGTATGATAAAGGGTTATTTTAGTATTTTTAACTGATTTTTTCATTAATATTTTACCTTCAACCAAGTATACACTCAGAAAATTTAACCCAATTTCTCCAGTAATATTTTGACATACCAAACAACTTTTTTTAAACTTTCCTACCAAAATCACTTTCTCACCATATTCCTATTATTTCTATTTCCCTGGTAATTTTTTTTTTCTCTTGAACCAAACGCTCCCTAAGACTTTTGTAAGATGGGCCTTCTGACCTATTTAGTTTAAAAATTTAAAAGTTTGACCTGAATAAGCTAATGATCAAACTATTACCTATATTAATGCATTACAACGCGTCATGTGAATTGTCGGATTAACACACGGTACAAAGCATATCGTTTTTAGAAACAATACGTACTCTCTCACGTTCTACTTGCGCAGATCACGTCATGCACACTACCATTTTTAGTGATGTCAGAATGTCAAAAAACGGTCCTGCAGCAGCCGCATTTAGAAACGGTATATTGGACAACGTCTTCCGTGTAGGACAACTCAATCTACGGACAATAATAAGTAGGGTTGTGCATGGGTCAGGTCGGGTCAGGTTTTTGTCCGACTCGACCCAACTTGGTTTTTATAGGTCGGGTATTTTGACTCAACCCGCTTTAATTTGATCCTGTAAGAACCCGCACCGTTAATTAAGGTATTTAATTAATTAATTATGCAGAATTAGGAAATGATTCTATAATTGACCCTAATAATTATTAAGAGGCTTTAATAATTATGGTTAGTGATTAAGAATGCTGAAAGTTGCTTTTCGGAAGAAAAGTGCAGATACCGGTTCTGCTAGTCGGTATAAATGCGTACCGAAAAAGTATCCCGGAAAATTAAAGTATGTGCATGATAATTACTAGAATAATATGTAGGACTTGTAAAACGAGTTTCAAGTCCAAATAATGAGAACTAGTGCTAGAAACCGGTACTGGCTTTGAAAAGCGCGTACCAGAAAGGTGCTCAAAAAATTATAAGAAAAATATGATAATTCTTGAAAAAATGTTTAGTTTCAGAATCCAAAGTTTGGGTTTAAAATGCTAAGCGTAGCAATTAAATCTAATACTGTGTGTTTAATGCTTAAGTGCCTATATATACTCTAATCTTTGGGCACAAAACCCTAGAACCACTACTCCTACGTGACTTGAGCGGCTGAGTGCACCTTGGCACTGTTTCATTGTTGTTTTCTTCTTCCTTGAGAGTCTTGGAGTCATTTCTTCCTTGTTCTTTATGGTTTCTTCTTCATAAACACTTGTGTGAGGGAGAGTCACCTTTGGGAAGGGGTTTGTGGTGCTGTTTCTGAGTAAGGAGGTCAGCTTAAGGGAGTGTTGGGGGCTGACTTTGGGTTGGTGGAGGGAGTTAACCTTGTGCTTCATTTTTGGAGGTCCAAGGAGCCACTTTTGGGAGGAAGAGCCTTGCTTGTCTTCCATTTTCGCATACCCTGTGTGGTCAGTAGTTGAGGGGCTGTTGGTGAGCTCCAAGAGCATCTCCATTCTGAGTTTTGAGCCTTGGTATGTTGTATCACCCTTTAACTTGAGTTTTAAGGCTTAAAAATGGAAGCTTGATGCATGTTAAGGTTAAAAGATGATAACTTGTTGTTGGGTAATGCTTAACACACCTAGAAATGCATGTTTAGGTGTTTAAAATCGGTAAAAACCCAACCTTGAAGGATATCTTCACGAAATGCAGAAACTGCATTCTGTCGTGAAATATCCGGATATCTGCCCGTGGAATATCCGGATATTGGATATCCGGATATGAGAATCTGTATATCCGAATATTGAATATCCGGATATGGACAGTGAGATATCCGGATATTGCATATCCGGATATGTTCCCGTGGAATATTCGGATATTCTGGGATTTCGCAGAACAATAGCTGTGTTGTGTGTACAGTAGGCTATTGAGGGTTTTTGGACCCTAGATTGATGAAGTTGAGCTTCTGTAATTAATGGACTAAGTCAGAATCATGTGATTAAGGACTTGTGGCTTTGTTATAAGCTTTAAGACATAAAACGTAATGAGAAGGCGTTGTCTTTAATTTGTATGCATGTGGTACATGTTTATTGATTTATATTTGGTCCATATCAGATTGTGATCTGCTGTGATTGGACTTTGAGCTTGTGGAATTGGATAGCTAGCTTAGAGGTAAGCTTTCGTGTCCTCGGTTTAGCCATGTTGTGGTTCCACCATGTCTCATGGGGAGATGGTATATGCATGCTGTGTTATATGCTTTTGATGTTTTGGAAATGATGTTGAGCTATTGTATGTTAGTGCCTTGTTGATATGCATGGAGGTGTTCCACCTATACGGTAAGCCTGAGTATGTAGAACATACAAGAGGGTGAGGTTGTGGGTGAGGTGCAAGCGATGTTCCTTGTACTACATGTAGGGAATAGACGTATTCCTACATTTCTCTGGCCAGTAGAATAGTGATTACACACATGCCATAGATATCTGTTGCACTACATAGTTTTGGAACTGATAATGATACAAATGCTTTTAGAACTTATATTGCACATGTAAGTGAGCTTGGGGTGGAAGATCCTTGAGAACCCCTTGTCTTACTGAGATTTCTTGTTTAGAGATCTCACCCCACGTTTGGGAAATACTTATTTCAGGGTCAGGTAATGTTGAAACCTCAGGCGGCAGGAGGCCACAACTGAGTTAGATTGCTGTTATATTATGCTGCCATGATTGGATGCTGGATTTGCATGTTGTTTATATGCTTATAGCTTCAGTTGTGTTTGTGGAGTTTTATGTTGAGACTGGTTGTTTATTATGTTTATTTGGTGAGCATGCGGATTGTTCATGACACATAGTATTGTTATGTCTTGATTATGTCTTGAGTCTTTTGGTGTTGTAATAATGTATCAGGATATTGTCCGGATTACGAAATGTAATACCGTGATGTAGATACACACTTTATTTATATATTGAGGTATTTCAGTAGATGTCTTGTTGCAATTTACATACAGGCGATATTTTATGAAATTGATTAAGTAATCAAGTTGGTAATTGATAATGACGTCATAATTGAAAAGAAAAAGAATATTCCGCATTTTTAATTAAGCACCGCTTAATACGATGTAATGTTAACATTCCGGGTATACACGGGGTGTTACAGATCCAAGTCAGGTCTGACTTGGTTTGGATTTTGTTGATCTAGTTCATAACCGGGTCGGATCTGACCTGATTTGGTTTTTGAAGTGGGTCTGACTTGGTTTCTGAAGTGGGTCAAATCTGACCTGACCCGTTTTTGACTTAGTTTCGTCGCAAAATTTTGTCGAAATTTCTACGTTGCAAACGATGAAAATTTCGTCATAAAATTATTTTTTCGTCGGAATACTTTTTGACGAAGAGCGACGAAATTTTTTATCGAAATTTTTTTTGTCAAAAATTTTTACAAAATTTTTGTACAAAAATGTGTTCCGTTGAAAATTTTGAGGCAAATATTTTTTATCAAAAAACATGACGAAAATATTTAGTCGAAAATTTTCGATGGAAATGTGTTTCGCTAAAAATTTGGACGAAATTTTTTTTTTTGTCAAAAAGTTTAACGAAAATGTTTCCGTCGAAAACTTTCGCCTAAATTTGAAATCTGTAAAGAATTTGGATGAAATTTTTTCAGTCAAAAATTTTCGATGAAAATGTGTTTCGTTGAAATTTTTGATAAATATATTTTTTTGTGAAATATTTTAATGAATTTTAGATTCCGTAAAAAAATTTGACAAAAATATTTTTCCGTCAAATTTTTTTACAGAAATATTTTGTCACAAATTTTGATGAAAATATTTTTCGTCAAATTTTTTTGCGAAAATTTTTTATGGAAAAATTTTCCGTAAAAAATTTTGACGTAATTGTTTTACGTCAAAATTTTTCTTTTAATGTAATTGTGATTTTTTTATTTTTTTCACTTAATGGGTATGAGTCAAGTTTTGGGTCAATGACTCAATATTAAAACAAGTCAGGTTTAAAACTGACCCAAATAAAAGTGAGTCAGTATTTAAACCAGTTCAAAAAAATAGGTATTTATGGGTCATGTCAAGGGCAGGGCAAGTGAACCAGTTTTTTTGCACATTCGTAATAATAAGCATGACATAAACACGTTTTTTTTATGTAACACAACAATTATATTATTAAATTTGGCAATAAGAAATTGTAATTAGTTTTATTATTAATATAATATTGGAAAAAGTTTTCACAGTTATATAAATATCGATTAATATAAATACTGCATTTTTAATATTTAAGGCCACTAATCTAATTTTTTAATATACTTAATATAACACCTTTCAAAACTTAATAATATGATTAATAAAACTGTAGAAAACTAATCTGAATATAACACAATTTTATTAATATAAATACATCATTAATATAATTTGTAGTCAGTCTGTAATAATATAACAATGTCGTTATACTATATGACAGTTTATTTGTTTGTAATATTTCTGGTTAATTTTTTTATAATCTGTAGTCAATCTGCATTCAGAATTTAGTTTTATAACATGTTAATTGTTTTGGCTATCCTATGTTAACGAAATAAATTATTTTAATTATTAAAATTACTTTATAATGTTACGAATAAAATTATTTCATATTATTTTAAGGCCAATAACCTAATTTTTTAATATACTTAATATAACACCTTTCAAAACCTAATTGCCTCTAACCTAAACTTAATAATTGAAATTAAAAAATTAACAGTGTGACGAGGGTCCATACGTACAAACAAAAATTCATAAAATATTTCAGTGACGAGTTTATTTGTTAAGTATTTTATGACAACAAAGTCCATGTCACTCAATATTTAATTAATTATAATGTTTCATACATAATTATGGCAATATATTTTCGCTGCCATTATTTCTTGTGATTAAAATTTATTTTTTATGCAGTGCGTCTAAAATCAAACACATCCTTAATGTTCGTTGTTCTTGAATATTAATATGCTGGTACAAAGATTTTGTTTAACGAAAGTCCAGTTTTCAAAATGAGCTGAGTGGAGTATCTAGATAATTCGAATGGCTCTTCAAAAAGGAACCACTGAACGCGTCTTCATGTGTATCGTTTCTTTGGTGAAAGCCATCAATGTAAAAAACGGAAGTATCCATGACGTTTTCTGTGCAAGTAGAACGCGGGAGAGTACATACCGTTTTAAAAAATGATATGCTTTGTACCGTGTCTTAATCCGGCAACATACATGACTCATTGTAATGCATTAGTATGGGCAATATTTTGACCATAAATTTATTCAGGTCAAACTTTTGAATTTTTAAATTAAATAAGTCAAAAGGCCAAGATGATGTAAGTTAAAAATAAATAAAACTTTCACATACCATCGACATAAGAATCCTGTTAAGAACAATGGGAGTAGTAAACATATCACAACCAAAAATGAAATGGCAATTTGATTGGCGAGAAAATAAAATAAAGAATTCAATATTATAAAAAAAAAAATAGAGTACTCAGAGACCAGAGTGCGTCTACATCAATGTCACCCTACTACCAGCAACCAAAAAAAAAAAAAAAAATCTCACTCTTATATCATGTAGTCTAATTTTAAAGGCATCCTACTTATCAAATTATAAATCCAACTAGGGGAGGGTGAACAAAATATAGGATAATTTATTAGCAGATAAAGCACCGAAACAAGTATAACAAAATAACGCAGCGGAAATGGAAAGCTCCACGAAGGTGAAAACCGTAAGATCAGAAACCCAACAATCAAACAAGCAATCATCACAAGCATTGTAACGGTTGGATCCTGCCAGCTCAAAGGATATTGTAGTTTCTCTCCAATAGTAGCAAAGTCCCCCATCAGTGCTGCATATTTCCCTGCGACAATTCTTAATCGATCATATCTATTCCTCCTTATAACGTTGTCTCCGAATCTTGTTGGAATTGGATCAAACTCTTCTTCTAGTTCATCTACACTTGCTGTGTGAACATTAGACAATTCCAAATTTACATGAGCCAGTTTTTTTGGCCTATTTGCATATTTCCAGCCCCAATAAATACACAAGATAAAATGCCAAAAGAGATGCTGTGGTAGAGGGGAACAAATATCCAGAACCACTGGAACCACTATAACAACTATAATTACCATAACTGTTACATTAGGATTCTCCCACTTGCATATCTCATCAAATCTAGTGTATAAGGCTACCAACCCACTCACCAAAATGTTAATCCTTTCAAAATCAGCTCTAGCTCTTCGCATGCTCCACATGATTTCGCGAGAATCCAGCACATACTCAACAACCTCTCTTCTCATCGGCGGTTCACTCTTACTCAACTTCGATGAGACAAACATAACAGATTGTTTCCTTAACCCATGTAATTGAGTCGGAGACAATGGTTTAGCATAATGTTGTTTAGGAAGCTTGGTCAATGCGTACATGAAATAGAGATTAAGCTTACTTAGGCAACAAAACTTGAAAGCCAGTTGAATTTGTCCCATCTTTATCAGCCCGCAAGGTTGAAGTTCAAAAAGTGGATAAGAATAAGAATAAATTTTATTGGTTTCCATGTCAGATAGACGGATTCTCACCTTCCCTATTCCTGTATCTTTTGCTCCTGAAGCTATATCTCCCTCGTACAGTAGACCGTTATCAAACACAGAAATTGTGATGAATGTGCATGGATCGTAGACATCAAAAGCGCACTGCTCATTCCAGTTCGGAGAAAGACTATTGACAACTGTTCTTGTCCGAATCCATTTTGGGCCATATTTAGCCACACAATATGCATCAGTACGACCCCTTGCTTTTATGGCTGGAAGCCCTCTAGCATTCAGTATCCCCATCTCAAAAACCCCAATGGGGGGTTTGTCTGGTGGACTCAGATCAGTGCCGTAGTGTGGGTCATCATCAAATATATGATAACCACCATCCAAATAGAACATCATACTAATCTTACCAGCAAATCCCCCATTCTGTTCGACAACAATAGTTCGAACAGATATAGGTGAAACCTTGTCTGCATTCTTGACAAGAAATACACACGTCCCCAAGCTTTTGTGACTTGTTAATGTTCCTTTTTCCACGCTAAAAAACAACCGTTGATTATCAAATGGCTCTGCCACGGAAATTAACAATTGCTCATTCCATTTTGGGTTTCCATTATTGTTCTCCACCAACTTGCTTGTGAAGGTCAAATTCCCCAAGGTAGCCCGAATGAAAATTGAGGATTTTTCAGATTCATCTTCAAGTAGGAGGCCATGTGCTTGAATCAAATTAACTCTGAGACACCAAATCTTAGGCATAATATACATCCGTGAACGAGTATTATCAATATTGTAAACACCAATTGATGCTGCATCAGTCTGTAAATGCCAAGCTCCATAAAATCCCTCATCAGCCTGAGTTCCTTTCCAACAAGATAGCATAAGCTCTCCCCTGAACTGTTTCCCCCTTAGATCCTCTATCTCATACCACTGCGATTGTAGTGCACAATCACTCGGAGGCCGTATTGGAATATCAGAAATATCAAACGAAATCCGACCTATGTATTCATCATAGGTAGGAATATTGTTCTTCACGAAAATCTCAAGAATTGTCTCGTGAATTTGAGTTTGACCTATCTCAAGGGCAAAGACATGGTTCCACACTGGGTCTATGCTGCTCCTGATGGAGGGAGTTGTACCCTGAAACCTCCCAACTCTCACCTCCACATAAGGGTCACAATGATTGGGGCCATTACGCACAAACAAATATCTGGCCCTAACAATCCTGACAAAAAAGAAGCTATTGATTTCAATAAGGTCAGTGGCTCCTGTGATCATATTGGCACCAATACTCGGAGAAATATCCTTCAATTTGGAATCCACTTTCTGACGTGCCATGGTTTCTAACAGCTACAACAACAACAACAACAATAGGAGGACAATTTTAAATTAAACTTGTGTCTACCCCAAATTTGTAGACCTTAACAAAAAAATTATATAAATAAAAATGAATATATAGAAGGCATCAAACAGTAAAGAAATCGTCATCTTTTAAATATAGAAGCCATGAAATAGAAAAAAAATGAAAAATAAAAAATTATAAAATAAAGATAAAGATGGGGAAGAACTCAACTGGAGTGAGTCACTAGGAAATTTAGCCACCCTTCCAACCATAATTTAGCCATTCAATAGTTCAACTAACGTACTTCATTAGGAAATTTAACCACCCTTCCAACACACAATCTACTAGATGACAAAACAGCATGGAAATGGCCTCCCATTCCCATAATTTGATTTGATTAACTATTCAATAAAAACATTGCAAAACCACATCCCCTTAGCATATATACCCCATTATAATATTACCTACTCACAAGAGGAACCATAATATTCAAAATAGAAAGAGAAGATTTCAGGGTACCGGTCTCAGTTTCTTGGGGTACCTCTTAAAAGCTTCAATTTCAGAGTTTATTGTTCTTTCAAAGAGACTCAAGAAGAAATCAACCTCCACCTGCAGCATCATCACAAATCAAAACTCAGCAAAACCAACAATTAAAACAACAGCGAAGGTAATCTTCAAAGGAAAAGACATGAACGACCTTTTGGGCGAACCAAGTTATCAGCGGAAAAGGCGAAAATGGCGAACAGAAACCTTGACCGAGGTAATGTAACCCTTGCGAACGGCAAAGGAGAAGACCCAACGAACGGAGAAGACCGAGTGAAGAGGGAGAGGGTTCTGTGAAATGGACGGTCGGTGTAGCGATGTTGTTGCTAGAGATGGGAGTGACAAAGCATAGAAAAGAGAGGGATAAAAACCGTTACCCTAGTGAGTGGTGTGGGGAGTGTGTGTGTGTGTGTAATACGTGTGTAGTAGTGAGGGATAAAGGAAGAGAACAAGAGAGATAAAAGAGACTTTGAATTAATTTATGCAAATCCCGTAACTAATAAACAGATCATTAGTTTCTAACACTAGCCCAAATAATAAGCTAGGCACATGAAGAGTCACGTGAACTTGCCTTCTGCTATCAGACATTTTTGGAAAGGAAGTTCAGCTAGGTAAGTCCAAGTGGGTGAGTTTGCGGTCCAAATTGAAAATCAATGAGAGGATGTTAGTTTAAACCTCCTATGGACTACGTTGTTTTAATTGGGCTCATCTAGAAATATAAATTGTGATTAGGCCCTTTAGGAAGACTTATGAAAGGGCCGCTTCATAATTTTAATTGGTCAATAACGATCAGCACTGATGGGGGCCCCGTACAAACTCGCTTTATTTTAGCGTTGAAAATAACAAATCGATTGTACATAACTCACACAGCATCATCGATAAGAAACCTCGTTCATATGTCACCGAAAAAAAAAGCCACATTCAATTATTTACATAACAATTCAGTGTTTAATTCCAACTCTTCCAATGATTGATATTGTTTAAGTGTGAGCAACTCCGTAACTAACATTGATTTACAAATTAAAATAATTGATTAAGTTCAACGAGTCATTACCAATACTTCGTCATTTGTTATATAAAAAAATATAATTTTGTCCCCATTTTTAAATTATTTCAAAAATATGACATTTTTTCTAAACATAACATCAAACTATCCATGTTTGGCTGGTGACTGGCCTTCATACTCGAATATGTGACCTTCATACTCTAGCATATGGGTCGTGTATTCGAATAAATGAGATCAAATTTTCTACAAGAATTTTCCAACGCGCAGCGTTCGAAATATTATGTGAAATAAAGAAAATGCACATGATTCTGACAACCGTGTATGACACTGATGTGGAATAAAAAAAAAACTCACATTATTTTTTGATATAATTAAGGGCATAATGGTAAAAAAAAACCAGCATCAACTTATTGTAGACTACATCCAGCAGTCAATATGTACGACACCGTAAGCAATTGTATATTTGGCTATTAAATTTTTTTTTTTAAACAATTTGGCTATTAATTTTAATTTGAAATAAGTACCGTATACTTATTTTGCTTTAACTATTTTATATATATATATATAAGTTTTGCTTTAACATAAACTAAGTTTTGTTTGTAATGGATTAGATTTAAATCTCTTATGATTGGTTGTTTAAGAAATTTAAAAAGAATTGATTTGTCCGGATGATAAGTTATTATACTTTTATCTGTGATTATTAAAGGGAAGAGAGATTTGAACAAAAGTTTCGGCATAACAAAAAGTCCAAACTTTACTTGAAATAAATCCAATCTGTCATACATTTATTTCATTTTCCGATTGATAGTGTTCATTTATAAACACTCCAAGTTTTTCAAACTCATCAATCAATAATCACAAACAAAGTTATGACTTTATACATATATTGGATGTGTCCAAGTGGCTGCCAAACCTTTAATCGGAGAAGGGAGAAGTCTTAAGGCTTATGTTCTCCTTTGTCTTAGAGACAATAGACATATAATATCATTCACCATGAAATATTATTAATTGCGTGTAATTAGGCAATTTATTTTGTATTCGTGGGTTAAATTAGGCAAAATATCTAATTAAGTAAATTAGAGTCAGTTTTGAGGTAAAAAGTGCAGTCAGCGAAAAATATGGGATAAAAACGTGTGTAAGCAAAAGTACTCAAAATATAAAAGTAAAAGCAAAAATATTCGCGACTTTTGGGTAAAGTTTGGTGGTGAATGGAGTTGAATAGATAGATAAGCTTTTACCCGCTTAAAGTGACTTACCTTATGTTAAGAGGCAAAACATGATTTTCTCTCTCCATTTCTTCTTCTTCTTCAACAAAAACTAAGGGTGAGAAGGAGAGAAACCCATTTGAAGACCCAAAATACTAACTTCTTTGATTCTCAACTAAATCAACTCATTCCAAAGCCAAAATTACTTCAAATCTTCTCCTCTTTCTTAATCCTAACTTGGTTTTGAGTGGGAGCCATTGTAAAGTGAGATATTGCTTGAGGAAGGGGGCAAAAATTTGACATTGGTGGAACTTGGTGTGGAATCTTCCATTCTTGTGGTTTGGAACCCTCACCTTGGACCATTGTGGTTGGATTGTGGTAAGTTTTCCATTCATTTTGGTTAATTTGAATGAGGTGCATGTTTAGGGTTTTAATTTGAGAAATGCATGAATAATGAGGTATGTTAGAAAGAGATTGAAGTTAAATTACTTTGTAAGTTGTTAGGAATGATAAATAAAAGGTAGAAATAGACTTAGATTGGCATTTGGTTGTTGTTCAATATATTGAAAAATTCATGCTTGGGTTTGTGAGTTTTCTAGCATTTTGAGCAAATTGTAAATTGGATGTTTGATTGTGTCCCTTGTGGTGATAGCATTGTTATAAAAACCGGATCGACCCGGAAACCGGTGAACCGGTCATGTAACCGGTCCGGTTTTTATTTTGGACCTGTCAAGTTACAAAATCGGTGTGACCCGGTACAACCCGACTTGTTTTTGTAAAAACTGGTGACTCGGTCCGTTCAACCGGTGACCTGGTCCGGTCTATAAAAAAAATTTATTTTCATCAATTGATATCTTCTTTTTACTTTCAAACACATATGGTTTATTTTCTTTTGAAATATTTGAGTGATTTGTAGCTTATTAAATTACATAGATTATGTACCTACAACATTAATATTATCTTGATTATGCAATATGCAGGGAATTTTGATTTGATTTATAGTTAGAGATGTCGTTTACTAAACCTGAAACACCAGTATCACAAATATTATATGTTTGACTGGTCTTTTGTTTGATAATGATGTATAATTTATTATTTTTATGATTAAATATTTGAAATTGGTATCATTTCTTTACAAGTATTTAAGTATATTTATAATTTTTTAAATATAAATTATTGATTTACATATACTTACCGGATCATGCGGTTGAACCAGTGACCCAATACCTCGACCGGATCAATAACCGGATCGGGTTTAAAAACATTGGGTGATAGGATTAAACCTTGTAGACCAACATTGAAGGATCAATGATAGCACATATTTTGTTACACTTATTTTTGTGGTGATAAGATTAAACCCCTTGGACCAACATTGAAGGACCAATGATAACACCTATTTTGTTACACTTATTTATTACTCTTGGTTGATATTTTTAGGATTTATTTGAATTAAATAAATGTCTTTTGGCTCAAATCAGAATTCTAGATTTTAATTGGGTTTAGTTGATTTTCGCCAGATTTTTTTAAATTTACACTACTTTCGTATTTTGGACATATCTTACTCTACAGATGTCCGATTGACTTCGTTCGTGTTGCGTTTTGCAGCTAACAGGAATGGCTACAATCTATATTTCAACAACTACAGCCCAATTCGGACGCGAAGATGATCGAAACCTGAGCCCAAGATGACGCGTTTTTGCTGAAATTTTATTTTGACGTTTTGACTTGTAAATTAATTAGAACCCAATGTGTTTAGGGCCCAAGGCCATGTTTTAATGTTTTATTTTATTTTATTCAGTTTTTATTTTATGTGTAGGCCAAAGTGGAGAAATCCTAACCCGTTCTGAATGTGGGTTATTTAAGGGAAACGTTAGGAAACCCTTCGGTAGTCAGATTTTGGAATTGAACAATTGTTTTTAGTTTTCTTTATCGAAATTCTGCACTTTTTCTTTTCGTCTTCTTCTTCTTCTTTTATTCTATTTTATTTTGAATGATGTTTAACCTCGCGATGCTAGGCTAAACACCTTTAATCAATTTAAGGTTAAAGGTTCATTAATTTATTTCAGAGGATAGGTTTTTAACTTTTTAAATCAATTTTGTTTTTTCCCAATTCAGTTTGAATATCATGTGATTGTAAATATTCAAACTGAATAATGCGATTGCACTCTATAAGAAAAATTGATCATTAGATTTAATGATCAGATTAATTTACCCGATGAACATAAGTTGAACAGATCAAAACTATTGTGATCGCATAGTTGAGATATTGTATTCAACTAAACGCTAGGCAATAGTCTAGAAAGGGTTTCCAATTGAATTTGAGGATTTTGAATTCGATTGGGGTTAATCACAAATTGATAATTATATTTTTTTATCCAATGACGAAATAAATTAATGAATCCTAATTCCTTAGGTTGATTGCTTTTTAATTCTGATTTTTAAATCCAATTTCAAATCTGTTTTTATTTAAATTTTAAATCAACAAAATTCCTCTTCCTTTTATATTTTATTTTACAAGAGCGTTTTTGATTTCTAGCAGGTTCTTTGGGAGACGATCTGAGTTGCCCTATCACTACAAACCTGAAGCTCGGTAATTTGCGTGGGTTCGACACGCACGTCAAATTTGGCGCCGTCAGTAGCGTTCTTTCTCTTTCCCGTAGGCAAAAGGGTTCAAATACCTCGACGTTGTAGGCCAGGCTAGAACTCGCAATCTTGCTCGTTTTGGCAAGACAGAATCAAATACCTCGACGTTTTGGGCCGGGCTAGAACTCCCAATCTTGCCCTTGGGCAAGACGGGTTCAAATACCCCGTCATTGTTGCGAGGCTAAAACTCTCAATCTCGTCCTGTGGGCGAGACAAGTTCAAATACCTCGTGTCTGTTTCCGTGGCTAGAACACTCAATCCTACCCTTTGGGTAGGACAGGTTCAAATCCAACAGATTTCCTTACGGGGCTAGAACACTATATCCTGCCCTTTGGGCTGGACGGGTTCAAATACCTCGTGTCTGTTTCCGCGGCTAGAACACTCAATCCTACCCTTTGGGTAGGACGGGTTCAATTCCGCCGGATTGCCTTACGGGGCTAGAACACTCAATCCTACCCTTTGGGTAGGGCGGGTTCAATTCTGCCGAATTGCCTTACGGGGCTAGAACACTTTATCCTGCCCTTTGGGCTGGA